AAGTACAGGTACACAAAAAGAAGAAAATAAAAGCCACCCCTAATTTTAGTGTACATTCTCCCAGTCTATTGTATTTCCTGCTGTCGTCCCATGGTAGGGACCTGTGGGCCTGTTGGGCGGGGAGTGAGAGATGGAGAAAACCTCTATGAGAACTCTAAATCAGGGGCCTACAAAGGGCCAGGCTGGTGAGCCTGGGAGAGCAGAAGCGTTGGGGGTGGGGTGGGGGACAGGACCCTGGCTGCCAGGAGGCGCCCGGCCTCACAGCATCTCTGCTGGCAGCATCAGAACGGAATGTATGGCCTGCACCAGGATGTCCACCACTTCAACTCCTTCGACCGGGTGCAGAGCCTGCCTTTGCTGTTGGGCCAAGCTGGTGTTCTCACAGGTGAGGGGCTTCGTGTAGCCACAGGGGCAGGACAGCAACTTACCTCCCTGCCCCAGAGGGGCAAGGCCTTGTCCCGAGCCACCATGGGCCCTGTGTTGCCTGCTCTGAGCACTTGACCCCAAGGAATCTGGGCCTTCTGGCTGGGCCATGGGCACACGAGAACAAGGGCCCGGCTGCCTCCTGGAGGCCACAACAAGACACAGGGCCTGGGGAGTGGAGAAGGGGGCAGAGGGGAGTGGGAGACCGAAAGGGCTCTGGACAGGCCTATCTCCCCGACTCCAGGCATCATTGGGAAGAAACACGTGGGGCCGGAGACGGTGTACCCGTTTGATTTTGCGTACACGGAGGAGAATGGCTCTGTCCTCCAGGTGGGGCGGAACATCACTAGAATGAAACTGCTGGTCCGGAAATTCCTGCAGGCTCGGGACAACAGGTGTGAGGAGGGTCCCTCCCCCTTAACTGCCCTCACACAGCCAGACCTCTGGACAGTTAATACTGGATGCAGATCCCAGAGTCTTTGGTTGGGATTCTTGGAGTCTCCAGACAGCTGGGGTGTGGGTGGAGGAGAAGGTTCCAGATGCTCAAGTTGATCTGGTCAGAAGAAGAGGGGACATGGGGACACTGAGGCAGTGTGGATCACGGGGAGGCTCTCAGTTGTAGGGGAGTAGGCAAAGCTGAGGGGTGTTCCTTCCCAAAGGATGAGGCTCCCCAGGGTAGAAGCCAGGTGGTGGGTCAGCCATCTGACCTTGACCTCAACGCTCAAGCCCGTTCTTCCATCTGCAGGCCTTTCTTCCTCTATGTCGCCTTCCACGACCCCCACCGCTGCGGGCACTCCCAGCCACAGTACGGGGCCTTCTGTGAGAAGTTTGGCAATGGAGAGAGTGGCATGGGGCAGATCCCAGACTGGACCCCGCAGACCTACAACCCGAAGGATGTGCAGGTAGGAGGACCCCTCACCACGTTTCTGAGAACTACCCTTCGTCCTCCACCCTGTAAATATGGGGACCTGTGCCCCTCTCGTGGGTTGGCAGCCCTGGCCCCAGGTGTGTAAGAAGAAACCCACTGACTCACTGGAGCCAGGGCCCCATCTGTGGGGTGGCAGAGAGAAGCGTAAAGACATGGAATGATGTACCCAGAAGCGTGGGTGTTCTGGGATAATCCATTCAGGAAGAGAGATGATTTTGGGCCCTGGGAGGAAGGCTGGCACCTGTATCTCCCACCCTAATTCAAGCTCTGGCCACTTTGCCCCCTCCACCCAACCTATCTGTTCTAACCTTGACGTGCCACCCACCTGCCCCATCCCAGGTGCCTTACTTCGTCCCTGATACACCAGCTGCCCGAGCTGACTTGGCCGCGCAGTATACCACCATCAGCCGCATGGACCAAGGTGGGTTCAAGGAGCCCAGGTGGTGGGATAGGGCACAGCTTGGGCCTCCATCTTGAGCCAGAGCCAGAAATCACAGTGCCGCAGGGCCGTGTCCCCTCTGGGGGAGAGTCCTTCCTGCCTCTTCCAGCTCATGGTGGCCGCAAGTGTTCCTTGGCTTGTGCAGCATTACTCCAGTCTCTGCCTCTGTTGTCACATGAGCTCCTTCCCTGTGTTTTCTCTTTAGTCTGTGGCCCTCCTCTTCGTTTAAAGACACTTGTCATTCGATTTAAGGACCACCTAGGTATGTCAGGATGATCTCATCTCAAGATCCTTGACTTAATTGTATCTGCAAAGACCCTCTTTCCAAATAACGTTACATTCACAGGTTCTGTGTGGACATATCTTTTAGGGGAACCACCATTCAACCCAGTCTGGGAGGTTGGTGCCTTTATCGTTTCCCTGTTGGTACCATTAGTTCATGGGGACTTGGGAAGGGGGTGGGTGTAGAGAGAATCCTATCTTCTGGCCCCACCCAAGACCATCCTTATTACCTCCACGGGGAGATTCCAGGAAACACAGAAACCACTGCATGGCAGGTAGCAGCTGCATAGGGGTGACACGGAACTGCCAAGGTTGGCCAGTGTCCTGGAGGGGTGCACTCAGGTGGAGGCCATGCAAGTACTGCTCCAGGACAGGGCCCTGGGCAGAGTGCTGGGCGGGAGGCCTGGCTGGTGGCAAGGAGGGCCGGGGTGATTGAAGGAAAAGATGGTGCAGGGTTCAGCAGCCGGATGAAGAAATGCTTTAGTGCACACGCATTCCCACAACTGCGCATCTGCCTGCGGCTGAGCTCTGCTATCCCCTCCACACCCTGCAGGGATTGGACTCGTGCTCCAGGAGCTGCGTGGGGCGGGTGTCCTGAATGACACCCTGGTGATCTTCACATCCGACAATGGTATCCCCTTTCCCAGCGGCAGGACCAACCTCTACTGGCCGGGCACTGCTGAGCCCATGCTGGTGTCATCCCCAGAGCACCCAAAACGCTGGGGCCAGGTCAGCGAGGCCTACGTGAGCCTCCTAGGTATGACTCTGCATTCCATGCAGCAGGGGTCGAGGAGGGGGAACGGAGGAGGAAGAGGACATTTAGTGGGACCACCACGACCAGACGTAGCTCCTCACCCACTACCTTATGCGGTTGCCACATCACCTCAGTGAGGAAGGGATGGTCAGCCCCATTCTACAGATATAGAAATGAGGCTCAGAGACATGAAGTTAGGAGCCCAAGGTCACACAGCTTGTAAGCACCAAGCTTGGATTCCAGTTTGGGTCTCACTGGCTTCAAGCCAGTCATTTTTCCACTGGCCCACTGGTGAGCATCGATCACCTGGCGCACTTGCTAGTATCCAGATATCCCACCCCAGACTGTCTGATTCAGTAGGTCTGGGGTGATGCCCCAAAATTTGCATTTGTGACAAATTCCCAGGTGATAATTGATGCCCCTTGACCCCACGTTGAGGGGTCAGGGCAGCAGCATGCTTGGGCCCCTGTGGGCTCAGGGCTCACATCTCCCTTTGGCCCCAAGGTCAGGAAGCGTTCTGGCCACAGCACAGAACAGGAATAGGCCCCTGTGTGGGGGCTTCCTCGCTAGTCTGAAGGATTTTAGAAGGATCCTGGGTATCACCAAGTTGGGGGCTCTTGTCATGGCATTGAAAGCATGACGGCCCAGAGGGTGACGCAGCAGTGACGGGTTGGCCTGTAGTAGCTTTTTCCTGTTGGTGATTTGATGTGCAGGGTGGCCCACCAGCTTCCAGAGTGGCCTGGATTCAGCCCTTCCACGGGGGTGGGTCTGGTGCCCTGGAGGGCCCGCCCTACTGAGATGTCATCTCCTTTCCAGATCTCACGCCCACCATCTTGGATTGGTTCTCTATCCCCTACCCCAGCTATGCCATCTTTGGCTCAAAGACTGTCCAGCTCACTGGGCGGTCCCTCCTCCCGGCGCTGGAGGCAGAGCCTCTTTGGACCATGGTTTTTGGCAGCCAGAGCCACCATGAAGTCACCATGTCCTACCCCATGCGCTCCGTGCACCACCAGAACTTCCACCTTGTGCACAACCTCCACTTCAAGATGCCCTTTCCCATTGACCAGGACTTCTACGTCTCGCCAACCTTCCAGGACCTCCTGAATCGCACCACAGCCGGCCGGCCCACGGGCTGGTACAAGGACCTGCATCACTACTACTACCGGGAACGCTGGGAGCTCTTTGACAGGAGCCAGGACCCCCACGAGACCCAGAACCTGGCCACTGACCCCCGCTATGCCCAGGTTCTGGAACTGCTTCAGACCCAACTGGTTAAGTGGCAGTGGGAGACCCACGACCCCTGGGTATGTGCTCCCAGTGGGGTGCTAGAGGAGAAGCTCTCTCCCCAGTGCAGGCCACTCCACAACGAACTGTGAGGCCCTCCCCACCCCCACAGTGGGGGACCACTGTCCTGTGTCTGAGCTGTGTCCTGGCACAGGAATTCCCTGGGGGGTCCCCAGGATGGTGCAGGGTCCCCAACCTGTGACAAGGTGAAGGTGGTCTGGGGAACAGCAGGAAGAAGGGTCTGGGACATGGGGCTTCAGTCCCTCTTGGTTCTCTGGAACCCACAGACGTTCTTGTGCCCTTCACCTGAGAGGAGATGGGATTCTGTGTGCCACGAGGGTGGTGGGTGAGTGCAAACTGCACTCAATGAGGGGACAGTGTCTGTTTGTCAGTCCTGGTCTGGAGGGAGCCTTTGAAGGAAACTTGGGCTTGTCTTCTTCCTTCATTTTGTTCACAGTCAGGCTCCTGAGCCCCGGGCTGGGTTTCCATGAGACCACTGATTCTTGGCAGGCTCCCTAAGTGACGAGTTTCATCCTGGGGTCTGTATGGGCAGAGCTTGCCCTTCTTTTTGAGAGTGTCCAAGGATGAAGATGTCTCCGCTCAAGGCCTGAAACCGCCCCATCCTCTGGTTGGGTGAATTCTGTTTGGGTGAACACAAGTCTGTAGCACAGACAGTACTCATGGAATGCTCCAGACCTGCCCTGCCTCCGCCTGCCTGGAAAACCCAGAAAGGGGGCATTCTCCTTCAAGTGGATGGGCTCCCATCACCCTTCCCACCCTCATCAACTCCATCCTGGAGGACATGGTGGGGAAGCCACAGGCCAGAGCGTTGTAAAAGCTTTTTATTTTAGTAAAATATACCAAGTTCATTTTCTGAATTTGTTTATGACACAGGGGCCATCAGCAAGGCCTCTACTCTGTCCACACAACCTTCTTCTGCTCATCTGCAATGGCCAGGCGGACACAGCTGAGCAGGGCATGCAGGTCGCTCCAGCTGTCGGGGGCCAGGCTGCTGTACAGACAGGGCACTTCATCCAGCTCACCCTCCTCTTGCCTGGCAGCCTCCAGGAGCTGGTTCTCTGCGGTGCCGAGCTGCTGCAGAGCCTTCCTGCCAGAGCCGGAGGTGGGAGGGTGGCTCAGGGAGAGCCTTGCACTAGCCTCCCAGCACGGAGCCCCAGAAATCAGCCGCCGGCTTGGAATTCTAGGGACCTGGATGGACCGATGATGCAACAGATGCCCCTAGACACAGATGGCCTGCTTCGAGGGGACCCAGAAGCAGATGTGACTGGGGCCCTAGATGACATTGCACTAACGGAGGTGGTGGGGTGGGGTGGCAGATCTAGTTTATAACTTCGGTTCTCAAATTATAAAGGGGGCAGCAGGATATCTGGGCTTGTCCCAGCCATGGACCAAGTAGTGTTTTTCAGTCTCTGTCCTTACCTAACACAGATGGACTGTTAACTCTACCCCAGGAAACATGTGGCCTCAGCCGAGGTCAGTCAGGTTCTAGGGTCTCACCTTACTGTCCTCTGGGCTGCTCCCCGGGGGTGGGCTGCAGGACCTCTATCCTGGATGTTTTAGGGGAACTGCCCTGTGACACTTCCAAGGCTGGCACGAGGTGAGATCCTGGAAACCCCATCACGGGCTCTGGATGTGGTCGCCATGGGCCTTATGGGGAGTTCTGGTGCCCATTCAAACCTCACCACCAGCCCCCAGGTGTACACCTACTTGAATTTCTTTGCCACCTTCTCATTGATGGAGATGTGGATAATGATGGGGAAGATCTCCATCTTGTGCAGGACGCGGACACTGTCCAGCTGGACATCCAGGAGGGCGTGGGTGTTCTGGGGGGAGAGGGGAGGGAAGTGAGCCTCAGCCTTAGAGGAAGCGAGCGGAGCCCACACCCAGGAGTGACGCTGAGAGAAGGGAGAGAAGGGTACACGCAAGACTGAAGTTTGCAAAGGAGGTGGGGAGAAGAATTCAGGGATGCCCTTTTGTATGTGAGCGTGCTGGCTGTACAGTTTTGAAAGTTTCCATCCGTTTGATTTTTTGCCTGGGAAATCTAGAAATCAGAGGCCATCGGGATTGAGGGAGACTGCGTAGAGCTCAAATCCTAGGAGTTGGATGGCTCCATCTACCTCTGGGGTTGTGAAGGATGGGGGGCCATTGTGCCTCTGACTCACAGCTGTTCCTGGCTGCTTTGTATCAACACAAAACTTTATAGTTCACAGTAAGCTTCTTTTCATATATTTGTTTGAGTCTTAAAACATGGAGTGTTATCTCCACTTTACTAATTTAGCAAATGTTTATTAAACATCTCCTGCGTTGAGGAAACAGGCTCAGGGAAGTTAAAAGTCCCGCCCGAGGTCATGTGGACACCAAATGGCAGAAACGGGGTTTGGTCTTTCCATGATGGAGCCAGAGACAAGATGAGCACCAACCTGGGGTGTCCAGGGGGCCCTGGAGGTTGGCCTTTCCTTTTCCCACTGCCGTTATCTGAATGGAGTTCCTCACAGCCCCTACCCCACCCCTTACCTTTCTCATGAGGGACTCGACTGCTCTGCAGGTGACACAGTAGCGACCACCAGGCGCCTCCCTCTCCTGGATGATGTCCCCTCTCTGGCTGGAGGCATCATACTCCTCCTGGCTCAAGTATGCTGAAGGTGACAGTTGATGGGGATGTCACCCACCCAGCCGCTCTCCCAGGAGCCCATGCTGAACACCCATGGGTCTGCCCCCATGGACCCCCACCAGCTCTGGGGCAAGTTCTTCCTAGGGTGTCCTCTTTATAAACCTGACCCTGCTCTTCCTGCTTGGAAGAGTCCATGCCCTGTACATTCACCCAAAACCATTGGACACAGCAGGTGCCTAGCCAGTGCCAGGATGTGGGTGGATGGATGGAAGGTTGGGTGGAGGGAAGAGTGGAGGGAAAGAAGGAAAGACGGACAAATGTAGATAAACCCTTCTCCCATCACTTCCCAAGCTCCGAACTTACATATGCAACTTCTTACACCCAGAAATCCCTTAAATCCGTGGTTCTCAACCAGGAGCAATTTTACCCCCAAGGTGCACTTGGCAATGTCTGGAGACATTTCTGACTGTCACAACTGCTGGGAAGGGGGTATGCTCCTGGCATCCAGTGGGTTGAGGTCCAGGTATGTTGCTTATCTGTGATGCACAGGAGAGCCCACAACAGAGGATGATCCAGCCCTAAATGTCGTGCCCAGGCTGAGAACTTGTGCCCTGTATAAACACGTTAAAACACACCCTGGGGCTTCCCTGGTGGCGCAGTGGTTGAGAGTCCGCCTGCCGATGCAGGGGACGCGGGTTCATGCCCCGGTCCGGGAGGATCCCACATGCCGCGGAGCGGCTGGGCCCGTGAGCCATGGCCACTGAGCCTGCGCGTCTGGAGCCCGTGCTCCGCAGCGGGAGAGGCCACAGCAGTGAGAGGCCCACGTACCGCAAAAAACAAACAAACAAACAAAAAAAACACACCCTGACTTTTCCCTTCTTCCTGAATAGCACCCAGTCTCCCAAGTGAGAACTGCACGTGCCCTCCTGCTAGCCTCCACCCTCCAAAGCATCACCAGATCCTGCAGACAGCTGGCAGACAGCTCTTGGGGCTGCCCTCTTCTCCCCACTGTGGCTTTGCTGTACCACCTCTGGCCCAGCCCCTAGCCAAGCCCTTCTCCAGTCCGTCTTCTATTCCACTTGAAAACGGGCCTGATTCAAAGATCGGGCCTGATCATGTCCCCTTGCCTACCACGTAACACGGCACGTCTGGGCACCCGCTGCCTCCCCATGGTGCCGTCTGTGCCTCAGTGCCTTTGTACACTCTGCTCCCTCAGCCTGGACTTCCTGGTTCTGCTCACAAACTCCTGTCCTGTCTTGCCGTCAGACTGCAGCCCCACTCCCACCCCTCCAAAGAATCCCTCTCTGGATCACTTGTGGAGCTAAGATGGGTCAGTCTGCCACGTCTTTAGGTGTCTGTCTCCAGAGGAGCAGAATAGACCCTGAGGGCCTCTTGGACTCTCTATCTCTAGCCCGCTGCACAGAGCCTAGCACACAGCAGGTGCTCACTGGAGGAACTGCGTGGGCCACACTTGCTTCTCTCTGTCCCCTCTGTGAACTCCAGGGGAGAAGGACAGGGCCCTATTCACTCTCAGCTTGTAGCCTAACTCTCTGAGGCAACCACCAACCAGTGATGGGTGGATGGAAGAAAGCCAAGGAGCTAACTCCTGCTCTCCACTCTCCAACCAGCTGAGCCACCTTTCCTGCTGAGCAGGGCCAATGGGACCCAAGATTCCCACTGGCCAGTTCATCTCCATGGCCCTACACTGAGTGGCTTTGGGCAGGTGGATGGAGCCCTTTGGTTGTTTAACTCCGGTTAAGTACAAACCTATCTGCCAGCAGAGCTGCACTGGGTGGAATAACATACCCCCCAAATCCATGTTCATCTGAAACGTCAGAACATGACCTTATTTGGAAATAAGGTCTTTGCAGATGTGGTTAGTAAAGATGAGGTCGCACTGGAGTAGGGTGGCCCTAAATCCCATGACTGGCTCCTTGTAAGAAAGTAACATGAAGACAGAGGGACACACAGACAAGGAGGCAGAGATGGGAGTAATGCAGTCACAAGCCACCAGCAGCCACCAGAGCAGGAAAAGGCAGGAAGGACTCCCCCTGGAGCCTTTGGAGGAAGTGCAGCCTGCAAAGACATCCTGACTTCAGACTTCTGGCCTTCAGAACTGTGAGAGTACACATCTCTGCTGTTTTAAGGCCCCCGCCCCGCCAGTTTGTGGTCCTTTGTTTCGGCAGCCCCAGGACACTCCTCTGGTCGTGCCGCCCTCCTGAAAGCAGATACTTCTCCTTGCCACCTGACAGTCAGGTGGGACTCCCAGGAGACAGCGTACCTGCTGGGCACTTCTTATACCCTTGGAAGAGGCACAGCTTCTCCATCAGGATCTTCCCGACCACCCTGGGCACGAAGAGCACTGGCCGGGGGCCGGCTGGGCCTGTGGCTGTGCACCGGGGTGTAGGGCACCAGGGTGAAGTAGCTTTCGGCCCAGAAGCACACAGTGGAGGGGTCTGTGGGAGGAAGGAGCCATGAGCGGGCCCGGCGCCAGGCTGCAGCAGCCCCCCACCCCCAGGAAGGCCTGTGTCTGTTTGGCTCGCCACTGCAGCCCTGGCACCTGCAGTAAGTAACACAGGGCACGCAGGGCTCGCACACGACGCACCACGCCCTCCGCATCTGCCCCGGCTGATTGCTTTGTACCTGTTGATTAGATTCCCTGTGCTTCTCTAGGATCAGCTTCATAGGCTGCAGTTTAAAACCTTTTCCTTGTTTGGCTCACAGGGAGGATAGAGAAACCATGTTCATCCTTGCAAACAATCTGGAAGCTTCCTGTGTCTTCTCCCTCAGCCTCAAGGGGCACGTGATCCCAGTCCTTCCCTCCCTCTCTGGTCCCTGATCTCCTCTCCTGGTCATTTAGGTTATATTAGGCACTCAAAACACTTTTCAAGAAGAAAATAAACTCAAAACGATTTACCTTTCTCTAAGTTCACTTCTGCTTATCTCGTTGCACAGTTTTACCTGCTCAGGGGTCTGTGCTGTGCCGGCCTCTGTCACGGCCTCATGCCCACAGCAGTCACTCAGCAGTTGTCTGAGGGTCCACTGGTTTGTGCAGTGTTGGGCATTTGGAGAGTGTTCAGACTTTAATATTCTAAAAGGACTGCTGTCCAGATGACTGTACCAGTGGCTTCGGACAGTCTTATTGCGGCAGGTTACAGAAGTAGGAGTGTCAGTTAAAGGACATTAAAGGTGTGTAGCTCAGCTGCTCTCCAGAAGGGCAGGTAGACGTCAGTTATGGTTCTTAAAGACAGATTCTGGCCTAGATGAGTGGCATCACCCTGACCCAGCTCACCAACCACAGCAGCCTCCAAAGACCCTCCACCAGCTCCACCCGCCTCACCTTCTACCTGGCTTGGGTCCAACTGGCCCCCATCAAAGGATGACCACAGAGGGCTGGCCTTGGTTCTGTCCATACCGACGATGCGGACCAGCTTCTGGGCTCCCCCAGAAGGCTGCTGGACGAGGCAGAAGGGACGTCCCACGGGGCTGGGGGGCTGGCACCAGCCCCCCGCCGGCAAATCCAGGGTGGTCCCTGGACTCCCAGGCTGTGCCTGCTGAACAGCCAGCAGGCCCAGGCCCCATGCCAGGGGGTAGGTGACAGAGGGTGGCAGGAGAGGGTCCTCAGGCTGAGCCCCCCAGCCCCCTTCCCGAGCAGGGCATCCGTGGGAAGCAAGAGGGAAGAGTAGGGAACCCCCGGCCTGGCCCTGCCATGATCCAGGGGGCTGCCCTAGCGCCTTGCTCAGGGACCGCTGAGTGCTCTATGTCGGGAGAACCCAACAGTGCCTGGTCTCAGTGGGGAATAAGGATGGGGGCCAGATGGTAGGCAAATGGGGTGATGGAGGGAGCAAGACGGAGAGAGCATACATGATGTATCTGCACGCAGTAGAGGAGCTTGCAGGCTGGGTGGCACGCAGACCCAGGTGAAGGTTTGGAGGGCCCAGGGGAGAAACACGCCGTGTCACCTCCCTCAGGTTAGCAGCCTACACTTTCCACCTGGGACCCTCAGCCAGTACCCACCTGTCTTCCAGCCCATGCCAGGTGGGGCTGGGACCCTCTGGGCGGAAGGAGGGGTTGATTGGGCCCCTCCCTCCAGATGATGTGAGCTGGGAGAGAGAGGCAGGGCCCACCCGAGCGGGACCCTGCATCTAGGACCTGGGCTGACTGGTCCTCACCTTGTGGGCCATGGTGCTCTGATGAGCCATGTCCTGGATGAGGGCGATGAGCAGCTGCTGAGCTGTGAAATCAACAGGGCTCTCAGCCATTCATTTATTCCCGGTGTTGTTTTGATTTAGGAGAGTAGATATTTTTATAATAAGAAAAAAAAATGAGATGTTTTTAACGCTATTAGAACTGAATTGGCCCCATTTGGATATCAGGACTGTCTCATAAAGGGGATCGGTTGCCTTAACCACAACATGAGCTGATAACTGAGAATCTCACGAGGACTGTTAGAAGTGTGACGAAGGGCTTTCATCTTGGGTGGACTGATGCTTACATCAGGAGCTCTGTGTGTGATCATTCGAGACACATGAGAACTCAGCTCAGCACACAGACAGCGAGAGAGAAGCCATGGGGCCCGAGGGACTCCTGACTGAGGGCTCAGCCCCTCCCTCTCCCTCTCAGCACTTGCCTTCACTCCCTACCCGCCCCCCTACCCTGGGAGGAATGAGTGACACCTGTTTCGAGAATTTCTTGCTTATTTTTTTTTTTTTTCTTTTGCGGTACAGGGGCCTCTCACTGCTGTGGCCTCTCCAGTTGCAGACAGAGCACAGGCTCCGGACGCGCAGGCTCAGCGGCCATGGCGCATGGGCCCAGCCGCTCCGCGGCATGTGGGATTTTCCTGGACCGGGGAAGGAACCCGTGTCCTCTGCATCGGCAGGCAGACCCCCAACCACTGAACCACCAGGGAAGCCCTTTTGCTATTCTTAAAGGGCCTAATGTTTAATAATTCTGCTTTTAGGCTACATCAAAGTCACCTCCCTGCCCATATGTTCACTTAATAATAATTCAGTTGTACATTTATGGTTTTTGCAGTTTAATGAATATTTTACAGTAAAAAAAAATTTTAGATGCCCCCAATGGTTAAAATGGTGAATTTTATAATGCGTATTTTAACACATACACACACAGTAACGATAAGATCATTACAGTAAAAAAAAAAAAAAAAAGCCCCACATCAGAATCTTATGTAGCCTATATCAGAAGATCCCTGGGTCAAGACTGCCGCATCCCCAAAGCCTTCTCAACTGGTGCATAGTCCAGACTACAACAGCTCACAGGCTCACCCTCCAGAGTTCAAGGACGTCAAGGTGGAGAAGGGTGCAGGGTTTTGATGAGAATCACCAGGACTCTCCTCTAAACACGTGTGACACTCTGCTTTACATCAGCCCAAGAAGGAGTGTGGGCCTATCCAATAATACATCTTTGTCAAGTTGAATCTGTGGCTTCCTGGGTTACCTGCCCCTCCCACTGACCCCACCCCTGAGAGGATCCTGGGGGCTCGAGGGTTGGTGCCACACTCACCATCACAATCTGGGTGCCGGGGCACAAGACCATCTCGTCTGCTGCGGAGCCCGGGGTGACCCGATGAATGTAGATGCCTGTGAGGTTCCCGCCAATAACGCTTATCTGCTCCAGCAGCGTGTCCCCCGGAAGGCCAGCACCGTGACCTGGCTCAGGATCTTGCGGGCTGGCCTCCGCCTCACCAGGACACTGTTGCAGAAAGGGAGGGGACAGAGCTCATGCATCCTAGAGCAAGAGGTCGGGCCAGGCCATCTCCCCATCTGCCCCCTCTAGTCCCATCGCTCTGGAATTCTCCTTCCCTGGCCTCAGAAAGGCTGGTAGTGGGGACACAGTCCTCACTCTGCTCTGCCACCTGCTGGCCCTGGCCCCTGCCCTCTGCTCACCTGGCGGCGAGGTGGAGGCCCCCAGAAGACAGTTGCAGGATGTTCTCGGACTCAGGGAGGTCTAGGAGGAAGCTACGGGCTTAGGCCTCGAGCCAGCCTACCCCTCAAGGTCACCCCCCTTCTGAAGGAGCTTTGGCTCACCCGTGCAACCTCAGTGCCGCCACCACAGGCACCCCCTACCTGTTCTGTCTTTTGCTGAGGCTGAACCTTCTCTTGCCCCTCCCTTCCTTGATGCGTAGAACCTTGATTCACCTCCCCTAAAATAGGAGTAGCTGGTGGAGAGCTGCATCTGCGAGAGTTTAACCTACATTGTGTCCTTTTGCAATCCTTGAATGAGTTGCTAGCATTTTACAAGATAGGGAATCTGGAATCTGGATTTCTGGCTTCACTTGAGAAATCAAATCTGGCATAACCCTGGCTGTGTATTTCTGTGTGGCAGCCATCGCCGGCACTGGCCATCGGCTGCCTCCTGTCTCCCCAGGCCACGCTGCTGACCAGCTGGCCATGGCAGGCCTCTGAGTTGACAATCTCCTAGGACTAGATGTCCCCAGAGTCTCTCCAAGGCCTGTATTTTATATGTGTCCTGTGAGGCAGATGGCACACCGCCCCCAGCCCAGGTGAGGCTGCCCTTCTCACCTCCTGAGCCTCTCACAAGAACCAGAGGGCCAACAGAGAGCTAAGAGTTGCTGGCTGCAGGCAGCCTGTGCCCAGCTCACAGGCAAACAGCCACTTGCGTTTACATTCAAAGCCAAGTGAAATTATACACTCCTGATGTATTTGAGGTCAATTCCACTAAAGTTATATGAACCAGGACATTATGCAGAATAATGACAAAAGGAAAAAAAAAAAAGAGTAATGACTCTTTCCTGTTCGTGCTCTTACATCCCAGTTGGTTATACCTGGGGTGGATCCTCTCAGTTGATCACCGTTATAAATAAAAATGGCAATGAATTTGCAAAAGGCAAGGTTTCTGGTCATGTGACCCACAGAAAGCCTGGGGCCATCTGTCCTAAAGGTGCCGCTAGGCAGAACAGCGTGGGGTACGCGCGCCCCTTGGTGGCCGTAGGATGAAATCTAGAGGGTGCTAAGCACCTACTGTGTGCAAGGCCCAAGGCTGGAGGCAGATGTGCAGTGGTGGCAAAGTAAGGAGGCTGCCCCTGAGGGGTCTGTGTCTTGAAAAGGAGGGAGGACCAGTTAAGTGACAAATATGAGGAATAAGCCACAGGAGAAATGGGAATGTCTCAGGTGCCAACACCCAGGAGAAATGTTCCTAGCAGGTGCCTCGGCCAGGAACAGTGAGGATGGAAGCCTGTTGTCCTCTGATATCACTGGGAGGCCCAAGTGTCCATGGGTCGGAGCAGGGAGGGACAGAGAGACGAGGTGTGTGTCTGGAGCTGTCTGAACATTTATGCCAAGCTGGATGTGGAGGCGAATGCAACTCCCTTAGCCTCCAGGTGAAAACAAAAGGACGCCCAGTAAGCACGGCACATCTGGACACTGGTTTGAACTGCCAGGTAGTCTGGATTTTCCCAGAGGCTCAGAGCAGGGCAGTAGTCAAGTTCGCTTCTCTCTGCCCATCCCCTGGACAGAAACTGGGGTGTCTCATCTACCTCCCTAAGATCCCTGTCTTCACTTCCCCGCCTGGCTCTGCCAGCCCAGCCCAGGGGTGGTGGGGTGGCTGCAGAGGTTGGGGGGTATGCTCACCTGCCCTATCTACAATCTCGTAATCCAAATCTGCATCACCCTTCTTAGCACCCAGGGAGCCTCCCTGGTCCACCTCCAGGGTTTTGGGGCAGCCACTGAAAAACATAAGAAGATGGAAGCCAATGTCCCAGTGAGCTGCCAGGGGGCTGGAGTCATCCGATCCCTTTACCAGCCCCTCTCTACCTGAAAGACGAGGGGTCTTCCCAGAAGTCCTCTGTGGCCCGCTTGTACAGGAACTGCTGGCTGGGAGGCACAGGGCTGCTGGAGTGGAAGCTATCCACCAGCTCTCGGCTGGACGTGGTGCTCAGGTCAGACCAGAGCTGAGACTGGAGGAGGATGGGGCAGAAGTCACCACGGGGCTGTCACAGGGACGCCCGGGACACCTCTCCTGCTGCCATACTGTGTAAAGAGTATAATGATGATAAACCACAGCCTCCCACTGACAGGGCAGAGGAGGCAAGAGGGAAGGGAGGGAGGAGCAAAGAGCCAGGCCACATTAATTGAGCACCTACTATGTGCTGGGCACTCTATTACCTACCTTCTATATTTTATATTGCTTAGTTCTTACGATAAATCTACACGGTGGGTAGCGTTGTCCCACTTTACATATAAAGCAACTGAGCCCCAGAGAGGCCAAATTACTGGCTAGTGAGGGTCACACGCTGACGGGGTGTAAACATGCAAGATGCAGAGTGTGGCATTGGAGAATGCAGGTGAAATGTGTAGATCCAGGTGTAGCCCCTCGGTTCACTTAATAAGCATTTCTGTAGCATCTACTATGTGCCAGACCCTCTTCTGTCCCGATAGACGAGGGTGCACCTGGTCTGGCCCCAGCAGTGGCAGAGGAACTGGCATACCTCAGAGGAGCTGCCGTCACTGTCGTCCCACGGGCAGAGAGCAAACATGCGCACCAGCCGCTGCTTCCTCTTCGGACAGGGCTCCCTGGCTCCCGCCTCCTGCTTGGGCTGCCAAAGACCCAGGTAGGCTGGTTAATTCAGGAAACGTCCTTTGGTTGCTCTTGGGGTTTCTACCAAGTCCCAACCCCTGTCTCCAGCCTCCTGAGTGGTTTCCTTTCATTGGCTTCAAGGCAAAACATTTATGTCCCCTCCTCCCAGCCTGGGACACCCAGCACTGTGGGAACTGGCCACCAAGGGGACATGCAGCAACCAGCTTGGTGACTGCATTTTATTCCTTTTGGATAATATCTGTTATTTTTTCCTGGTTATACAAATAATACATACTATATGTATAATATATCTAAACATACTCCGCAAAGAATATTGGTGGGGAGGAACAGGCTGATTAGAGAAGAAAATAAAATTGACCCGTCCTCCCACACTCAGAAATAGAACAGCTAGCAGTTTGCTATCTGTCCATCAGTCTTTTTTCAATACATATGTATATTTTTTGAACATGTTTGATGTGGTAAGTGGGTAGGAAGGAAGGGCTAGGGCCCCTGCATAGGGAGGGGAGGGTCTGCTTGTGCCTCACCCAGGTCCCTGGGCACCTCTGAAGAGTCTTGCCTACCCACCAGGGTGCCTTGGACCTGGAGCTGCCAGCAAGACCATAATTAGAGGTTTTACAGTAATTTTAGTTCTTTGAGAACATAGCTCCCTCCAGGTCTATCACTCAGCTCTCAGATAGTTGACTTTCAAGCATCCCAGGAAGGCATCATCCACCAGAGCAAGTGGCTGCCTGCACAGCTTCATATGCTGCCTTCTTTCTTCATCAAACACCACACATTACAGACTCCAGAACCTTCCACTAAGCTACCCCTTCTATGACGTGCATAGTATTATCATAAAAGGAAATGCAGAAGGAGACTCAGCCTGCCCAGCTGGGTACCTTCAACCTCTGACCACACTGTCTGCTCACGGGAGCCAGCGTGGTGGATGGAGCTGAATCCGGTGGTGCCAGCAGGGCCCGTGTGGCCGGCTCGGTCCCACCCCGAGCACACCCTGCATCCCCCCCCCCCCCCCCCCACCCGCCTCACCTGAGCAGCAGCAGAGCTCACCCCTGGCAGCGACTCGGCCTGCACTTGTAGCCGCTGGACCTGCTGGCGCAGTTCGCAGACCTGGTCTGTCAGCTCAAACACCTTCCTGCGGAGTGCGTCCTTCTCTGCCAGGTTCTGAGAAATCTCCATCTGGGATCCATCCCTTGCTGAGTAGGCCTGCGAGCCGAGATAGAGCGGATCGACGCCCAGAGGATAAAGAGGCTGTGCCGCCACCACGCAGAAGTCCAGCTAGAGAAAGCCCCCCGTTTCTGGCCCGCGGTTATCCTGGACTTCCCCTGTGCGCACCTTACACAGCTCATTCTGCAGCTTACCACCATTTACAGCTCACGTAAATGTGTGTAGTTCTAGTAACACCCAATAGGTGGGGTGCACACAAACACGCCCTGTTAGGAGTGAAAGGAGGGAGGACGCTGTACAGCAGGCATGTCAGGAGATGACAGTCAAGGGGAGTCAAGAAACCTCCCAGGGATCGGGAGAGACATCCCGAGTCTGGAACCTGCTGCCATCGAGGGCGGGTGACCCGGCCGGCCAGCCCTCGGCCACACCCAGAGGGGCGGGGCCTTCCCGAGCCTCCCGACCTCCCGAGACTCCGCCGGCGCAGCACTGTTCTCGGAGCCCCTCAGCCCGTCACCCCGGCCGGCCCCTTGCCTCTCCCCGGTACCTGGTCCCGCTCCTTCTGCAGCTCGACCACTTGGCTCTGCAGGACGTTCATCTTCTCCCTGTACATTTCGCAGTCCACCTTGGTTTTCTGGAACTGGAGCAGGGTCTGCTCCTTCTCTTCCCAGTACTGAACAGAGGGGGACAAACATGGCCCATGAAGGTCAGCGGCTGTGAGGGCGGGGCTGAGGATGGGTGGTGGGGGAGCCTCGAGGAGAGGGAGGGGGGCAGTTCTAGAGGGGAAATAAGGTGAATTCACGCTCATTTCTTAAGTGCTGGATTCCACGTGCATCTACAGAGTTGCGGTGTTGATTATATTTTAATTTGGTCATCAAAATATGCATGGGTGCTGCATGTCTATTTGTGTTTTGTTTATTCCATGTCCCAAAATGCATAAATATTTTCCCTCTACCTGCCTCATTCTCTTCCACTGTCTCCTTTCTCTCATCCTCCCCTTGCCTTTTATAGCAACTAAAGAAATCCCTGGCTCTCACCCTGGGGCCCCTATGCACTTGAAATCACTCTGTGTTCTAATCACTTGTTTGCCTGACATGTTTTCTCCCCACCCCACAAAGTAGATGTGACCTCTAGTCTTTGACTGTGAGTTGGTGCCCAATCTAGTTTTGACAAAGGAATCAACGAACAGGCCCATGCATTCGTTAGGCAAAGCTGGTCTTAAGCTCAGTGTGGATTAAAGAATCTCCTTCCTCACCCAGGCAGCCCGGCCCCTAAACACGGCCCAGAAGGGTCACCTGCTTTCGCTGTCTCTCAGCGGCCATGGCCCGCTCCCTCAGAGAGTGGATGCGGTTCACCAGCTCCTGCCTGCTCTCCAGGGCCTCATCCAGGTTCTGCTCCAGAATGTCCTTCTCCGCCTGGTGCAAAGAGAGGTCAGCCCAGGGACCCTGACCTCCCCAAAGGCCTGCCCCTGGGGAAGCATCCCCATCATCTCGTCCCAAGGATAGGAGGCTGGAAGCTTCAAGGATGGCGGTGTGTGGGCAGATTTAGCCTTATTACCGCACATCAGGCAGGAAAAAAGGCAAGGTCAGCAGTTAAAATGGAGAACATGCATTTCAGCTCCAAGTGTGCATGGCTAGGAAACAAAGTACAGGAAGCTGAAAGCCTCTGAGGGTAGCATAGCACCTCCACTGTTTAGGCAGCTTCAGGCTGCTCCTTCAACAAATCCACAAGCAGAGCTTCCAGGAGGCGGAACACCAACGGGTGGGTCATTCCCCGCTCACGCTCACTTTTATGAGTGATGGCACAGTTCAGGCCATGGGGTGGCAGTGCCAGGCGGCGGCCTGCCCCACACCCCTGAACGTCTATTGAAGGACTAGTTCAAAAAATAGATATTTATTGATTGAAAGGGACTGGAGAGGAGAGGCAGAGGGCTTGCATAATTCCAGGGCTTTGGCATCACTAACTTCTCTGCATCCTACCATTCCCCACTCCCCCATGCCTGCGTGGGCAGGGCGCCAGGATATTTTGCAGGCAGAAACGTTGCCCTGCTCCCACAACCTTAAGCTAATTCCATCAATTATAATCAGCCTCGTCTATTCCGAACAACAGGGCAGCAGCAAACCAGCTTAGTAAGACTTTCGAATATGTGTGCAACAGCTATCAATTCTGCTAACATTTGGGGGCTGGGAAGAGTGGGAATGAGGGATGCGAGAAGGAGCCATGGAGATGAGTCACTAGGTTTCATCTCACCCAGGTCTTAGCCACACCTCAATAGAACCACTTGTCAGAAATCCCACAGTCTGGAGGCCACAGGCCAAGGTCAAGGACACTCCCCGCTGGCCACCAGGGAAGGAAGCTGAATCTTGTGGGGACCAGGGCAGGAAGCTGACCCTTGGAGGCACCAGGACCCACCAGGCTGAAGGTCAGGGAGCGGAGCCTCTCATTCTCCTCCTTCAGGCGGCTCAGCTCCTCATCTCCAGGCTCCAGCTCATTTGTCATCTTCAGGGACCGCTCTCGAAATTCCCGCTCACAGGAAGAAGACATCTTCTCTCGCTGCAGCTCTTGCTTCATCAGATACAGCTGCCAGGATGGAGATCAAGGGGGAGAATGTAACTGCTGTTTCTCCACGAGACCAGGAGCCAGCTGTGGTTCTCAACGTTTCTCCTTAAGGATGATGCTGTTCATACTCGAAGAGGTCCCTCTCCGGAGATTTCAAAATCCATTAAAGGATTTTACCTAATGAATAGTTCCAGTCCCTGCGGGACGGGAAAGGCATTTTAGCTTTATTTTATAGATGAGGTGTAGGGGTTAAATCACTGGGCTGGGGTCCCCAGGGACAGAACAAGGAGCCCTGGCCACCAGCTCTTGGATCTGACAGCCAGCACAGCCGGGAATGAATGTCCAGTAAGCCTCCTCCAGCATGGCCCTGCTTCTCTGCCTTTCCATATTCTGCTAAACACGTCAGATGAAGGGAAATTGGATTCATAAAAATCAGTAAGTAAAAAAGAGGAAAGTCAAGTCAAATAGAGCAGAGATGCCTGGGAATACAGGACCTGGTCTATTCAGACACACTTGAACTCTGTGTGCTAGTATGAGCCGCCTGCCACCCAGTGGGCTGCATGTCCAGGGCTATGAGCTCTGTAAACGACCTGGCCAGGTCCTGCTGGCCTCGGTCCTGCTGGGTAGTGGTCCAAGAGAAACTTGCACCTCGAGCTGATGGGCCTGGCCTCTCCCCGTCTCGGGTGTGGTGTCCCTGGGAAGAGGGGAGTTTCCCTGTAAGGCAAACCCAGGAGGTCTGGATGTCAGGGTGGAGTTCAGCACTCACTCCAGGGTTGGGGTCAAGCGGAGAAGGAAGAACCTTTGGGCTTGGACTTTTTACCTCTGACATCTAGTGAGCAAACTTTCCATAAGCAATTACCAAGTTCCTGCTATGGACTAATAACTAGGTTAGGCATATCATATTCTCCAGATTCAAAAAGTAAAATTAAATCATTAAGATCTGGAAGGAGGAGACCTAAAACTGAAAGTAAACCAAACAAATGGGTTTGGGTCGGGGAGCACATCTCCAGCCTGCAGCTCAAACTCTGGGAGCTCCAGATGCCCAGGTCTCCGTGCATGCCCTGACAACCAGGACTGGCTGGAAAACCTTCCCTGGGCTGGGTCACAGGGGGTGACAGCCTCCCCTGGGAGCGCCTTCTAGTCCAACTGCCACCCCTGCCCCCACCTACCGTAGCATCACAGAACTCCCAAGGAACACCTGACTGTTCACAGACTCCCACTCCCATCAAAGTGAACTCAGAAAATCAGGGCCAGCTCAAGCGACAAGCTGCCTTACCAGGACAGCTGAAGACAGGTCTCTCTAAACCTCAGCCAACTACCCCTGGCTCCTGGTACCTGTCAGCCACACCGGGGTTTGAGTATAAGTGGGCGTAGCTGAGTAGAAGTCATGCTAGTCCCTGCTTCATGCAGTGAAGCAGCTCAAGACAGGTCCCCAAATGGGAATTTAAAATGTGGGAGTTTCTTTGCAACTCAGCCCCAATGTAAATAGGGGTTAGTCCTAACAGTAAAGAAAAATTAGCCCAGAGATCCCTAAGGATATTTTGAACTCTATAAAATGCTCTTTTCACCCTACAGCAATTCTAGAGGGAGTCTTAGATTATAAGAGCCCTGAGGCTCTAAGATGCGGGTCCTCCTACTTGACCCTTTCCCATGTCAACATTCTTCTCAAAGCCCAAGGCGCAGATCTTCGCTTGCCTGTGAAGTAGGGAAGAAGGATAAACACACACACACACACACACACACACATACACACACACACACACACACACACACACAGGCATGCACAGTACTCCAGAAAAGGGAGAATGAGTTAGAGGAAGCTTAAAGGAATTGATGGCCCCCAAATATGGTGTGTGAGGCAGAAGTTCACCAAGCACAAAAGGGGTGCTCCCTTGCACCCCTCAGCTAAAATCCGGCACCAAAGTGCCATTGTAACTGTCCAGCTACGCCCTTACCACAGATAGGAGGCAGCTGGTCTTACTCACTTTATACCTGAACTTAGAAACCTTCCTTCCTTTTCTTTTGTCCTGGGCAACGTTGCAGAGATAAGAGTACTAAACAGAGCATTCCTTTCACCCAGCATGGCCCATACTGTCTGAAAGTGGTACTTAGCAGCCAGAGAATGTTCAAGTAATTTAACCAAGCAAAATGGGACGACCTGCTTTCTCCTCTCGTACCCAAACCAGGCACCACCTCCGCGCCTTATAAGGAGGAAGCCGGCCCCTCTCATTCCCCTGTAGACAGCTCTTGGACCCCATTCTTGGCCTATCCACCCTCCCTGGGTATGATGACCTGCTCTCCTGGGGACAGACTCTGCGTACTTGCCTTCCTTGTCCTTGAGAAGCGATGGCTGACCAGCCACAGTCTTGACTGAGCAGCCACAGACAAGCAGGCTTGACAGGCGCATCTGTCTGGGCCCTGCGCACAGGAGCCGAGCCTCACTCGAGCCTCCACGCATCAGTGAAACGCCAACACATTTTCTCACAGCAGGGAGGACGGGTGTGAAGGGTTTGTTTTGCCTTTGTGAGAACCGCAGGAACCTTCCGAGAACTGCCCGTGTATGTGGTCAACCCACAGAAGACGGTGATTGAGAAGATGATGGAAAATCTTGGAGTGGATAGAATCTTCTCTTCTATGTGAACAGTCAGCCCATAGATCCTTCAGAAAAGTCCTAGGAAGTTTAGGATAAATTCTGGACCTCTTCTTTGGTTCTCATGAGCAATTCTGGGAAGTATCTAAATAGTTCCAATAGATCCATCTAAAATCAACATTTGATAATTACTATTTAAATTTAAATGAAAGTCTTGGTTCTTCTATGTTAAGATATATCCAGAATGTGATCACTCTCGCCCTTTGCACTGCTGGGATCTGATCAGCGCCTACGCAGACCTCTGCAATGACCTCCTAGCTGCTTTCTCCATGCCCCCCGAGGCAGGCTCTCAACACAGCAGACAGGGCCTCCCTGCTAAAGGATGAGTCAGGTCATGTCATTTCCTTTGCTCTACAAATCCTCGAGGACTAACCATGCCCCACAGGTGAGACTCTGATTTCCTGGTACTTGCTGACCCTATTTGCATTTACCTGCTCCACATATGGGGCCTCCTTGCTAGCCTTTGACTGCTCCAGGCACATGCCAGTCCCAGGGCCTTTGTACTTGCCTCTGCCTGCAATGCTCTTTCCTTCACCTCCTTCAGGACTCCACTCAAGGGCCACCTTCCTAGAGAGGCCTTTCCAGACATTCTATTTAAAATTGTAGGACTGGGCTTCCCTGGTTGTGCAGTGGTTAAGAATCCACCTGCCAATGCAGGGGGCACGGGTTCGAGGCCTGGTCCGGGAAGATCCCACATGCCGCGGAGCAACTAATTCCGTGCGCCACAACTACTGAGCCTGCGCTCTAGAGCCTATGAGCCACAACTACTGAAGCCTGCGCGCCTAGAAAAGGTGGTCCACAACGAAAGAAGCCACCGCAATGAAAAGCCCTCGCACTGCAACGAAGAGTAGCCCCCGCTCACCGCAACTAGAGAAAGCCCATGCACAGCAATGAAGACCCAATGCAGCCAAAATAAAATAAAATAAATAAATAAATAAAAGGTCTCATTAAAAAAAAGTAAAATGGTAGACTTCCCACACGGCTCTCCATCCCCCTTTCCCTATTTCATTTTTCTCTATTGGACACACTGCTCCCCGACATATTATATATTCTAATTATTTATCTGTCTCTTGCCTGCCTCCTCATGACAAGCCTGAAACTTCCAGAGGACAAGGATTCTTGCCTTTCTTGTTTTCTTCTGTGTCCCCACCCTGAGAAGAGTGATGCTCCATGCATACTAGTTGGGTGAATCAATAAGCATTGGTTGGGTGCCTGGTTCCCACTGATGTATATACTACTCAAGAAAGAAGGGACAATCATAGTTCCATGGCCTATATGAGTAGCAAGGACCTTAAGGATTCTCCTCCTGACAAAGGCAGTTTCCCAAGGTCACACAGCTAATTGATGAAGGAGCAGCAACCAGAACCCAAGTCTCTTCCTCCTGGTGAGTGAGAGGGATGGGGCTGCGGCCGCTCGGGGCAGAGTAGGTAAGAACACAGGTCCGAACTCAGATAAGAAAACAAGTTCTTGGACCAGAGCCCCAGCCCTGCTGCACATCAGCTACCCTCTGGGGCAGGTTATTTAAACCCTCAAGCCTCAGCTTTCTTACTTCTCCAGTGGGGCTAATAGTGGCACCTGCTTCATGGTGGGAAAGCACTTCTCTCTGTGCCTGGTGCATAGAAAGTTCTAGATAGTTATAAAAAACTCAAAATGCTGTCCTTCCAGGTAAAAGAGGGGGCCAGAGCCTCACTAAGCCTCTGTTAAGAACAGAAATTCCGAGCGTTATAGGACCGGAGTTGAGAAAGCCCCAGCCCCCCAAGGTCCATGAGCTTTCTGAGGGCAAAAACCGTTTCTTAGTCACCACTGGGTCTTCAGGAGCACCCCGACTGACAGTTATTCTGTATGACACGGGACTATAGCTGTGTACACAATTCTAGGGTCAATCAAGCAGCATTTTGGTAACCTGGCTCAGGGGGAAGAGTATGTCCTGGAGAAACTCCCAAGCCCCAGGGGGCACCAGGATAGCACCACCTGGTGAGCACAGCCCCCGGCAGCAATCAATAAAGGATCCAGGAGTGAACGATAGACGGTCATTGTGAACGCCCTGGGCACTCTGTGGAGGGCCTCTGGGTGCTACTTTATCCATAAAATGTAGGGAGTTGGTGGGGGTTCTGGGTTTGCCTTGGAATCAAGATGCTAACACCACTTGCGAATGCAGGTGCTACAGGGAAGGCCCTGTAGGAATAAAGTTCAGACTCGCAGCAGAGAGCACCCGGGGACAGGGTTCCAGGCTGAAGTGTGGCTCACTGGCCTCTGCATGGGAGCACGGACCCCCACACACACTCACCCTGGCCCGCACCAAAGCGGGGAGTGGGCCAGGGGAATTCGGGAAGCA